TCTGCACTAACGTCTCCCTAAACCTCAAGCCCAAATAAATCTTCTTCTACGTTCTAATTAAGGCATCTAACACAATTCTTTACCTGTACCAAATAGAGCTTTTTAACCAAAAGACCACCTCTAACTTTAAGCATAAATAGTAAAAATTTTCCAGTTATTATCTTATCAAACCTTTTTACCGATACCATGGTAGTTTAAAGAACGTACATCTGCTTTTATAACTAATCTGTCAAAAACTTTATTATAGATTGCGCTAATATAAACTTTGATACGCTCTTTAGGAATTTTATTGCGGTAGTTTAAAGCAAGTATTTTATAAAGGTCTGAAAATAAAGCATCCATTAAAAAAGGGACCCTACGACGAACCTGAATCGCTTCTTCAGGCGTTTGTGCTTCTATTGTCAGGCTAAAAATATAATAAGAAAAAATAACACCGTGGCGCACGATAGGGACTGTTAACTGAGGAAGAATAATGAGGGTATTGTTTTCATCTTGATCTGCCCCCCCTCTACTTGTTTGGTAGCCTCCTCTTCTCCCGCAGCAAAAATTGCCGTTTGAAGAAAAGTTACAAACAGTGTTTTCAAAAAAAACACACGCATCTTAAGCCCTTTTTCTGTTTTCTTTAAAGTGTTGATACCCTAGGGAGCTGAAAGATAAAATTTTCCCTTCCTCATCAAGGACATTTATTTTTCCTATATCCTTATTATAAATAGGATCTGCTAAATAGCCGATATGACCAAGGGAAAAATGAGACTTTTTAAAAAGGTGTTCCACCTCTTCTGTTGCATCCGGGGAAAGTGTAAATAAAAGTTCGTAATCGTCCCCACTCGTTACTAATGAAGGGCGAATATCTTCCCCTTTATTTTCCTGCACCCACTCAATAATCTTTAAGACAGGATCTGAAAATGGAATCTTCTCAAGACGCAAATGCGCTTGCAGGTTACTTGCTATAAAAATGTGCTGAAGATCTGCAAGCAAACCATCTGATACATCAATTGCAGCATGAGCATGCTCTTTAATAAGTAGAGACTCTTTCAAACGCAAAGCAGGGTATTTATAAGCCGCTTCCAAAAAATCACGCTCATGACTTTTCAAGATCGGCAACCACGGTGGCTTCTCTTGAAGCATTTGCAACCCTAAAGCAGCATTGCCAATAGAGCCTGTTACATAGATCCTATCCCCCCTGCACGCTTTCGAGCGCAAAAAGGCCTTTCCAGACCGGACTGTTCCGAGCACTGTCATTGACACAAATAATGCCCCCTG